ACCCTGAATTGGGACACAGCGTATAAATACACGTGGGGAAACAAGGAAACTGCACAAAGGAGGGAGACACAGCTGAACCTAATTGACATGACGAGACAGGAAGGACGCAAACTAAATACACTGACACCAAATACGGGCCTTCAAAGTAAAACAGGAAACATACACTGAGAGAACTCAGAGACATGAAACTGACAGAGCAGAGGGAACACACAAGCAGGGATGCCTGGACACTAAACCAAGGAAGAACAGAAACTAAAACCAAAAAAAGAAAGTCTCAAACAGAATACATAATAAGAAGAAGTAGAAACACAAAACGCTGCGTCAAAAGACCCCGGACCATGACAGTTTCATAATGTCTAATAAGCTTCATACAGTTAAGCACAATCACTACATGACAGAAACACAATCTAATCTCTCTTAAATCAGGTTCGATCCTTGGCTGCATGCCAAATATCCTTGGACAAGATACTGAACCCCAAATTGCTCTCCGATGCATGCATTGGAGTGTGAATGTGTGCTGGTATTAAATAGAAAGCATTTAATCATAGAAAACAGTGCTGGTGTGAATGGGTGAGTAGAAAAGGCCAGTGCCTCCTTACCCAGACAATATGGAACAGACTGCACACAGCCAGTATCTCGTCTCATAGTGTTGTTTGCACTGGTGGCACCAAAATGTGCACTTGAACCTTAACATGTGGAGGAACATCATGTTCATCAATCAGTGCGGATTCCGCTTTCGGGACTCGGATTATATGGTTAAGCTATGGAGAAGATATAGAGAACATTATAGTAATTCCTGCACCCTTAGGGTAAAAGGTTTTGGTGGAGATAGTGTGATGGTGTGTGCTGACTTCTGTCATCAATATAATCCACATGCTATAACTTGTTTTGACTAGCCACAGTAAAGAATTCTTTTTATATAAAATAATGTATAACATTTGTTTTGTTGAAATTATTTTAATCAGTAAGTCATATCTGATGAAATGTCATCTTTTACTAGCCATTCTGTTAAAAAAATAGAAAAAACAAAGTCTGTCTTGAAATGAATGTGGTAACAACACTAAGCGTGTCTTTCTCTTACAGTCTTTTTGCAGCACACCAGAAAAATCCCAGGTAAAGCTATTATAGAAAATATAAACTGCATATGTGTTTCTGTTAGTGTGCATGCCAGCTGAGAAGTGTTGTGAGAACAAGTACCTTTTCACATTCAAGGTTAACATTTGGTTTTGTTTATGGTTATGGTTTCATGGTTACAGTACATGAAGTGAGTCTATGTCACACCGATATGTTAAAACATCTGTGGGTTAGTGTTAAGTTAAAATACACATAACTATTAACGAAAAGAAAAGTGAACATGAAAGCATAATGAAGGGCCACATTTCTGCTCTTAAGTTATTATCGTATTTTTCGGACCATAAGGCGCACCGGATTATAACAGTCAGATAAGTCAAACTTTATTCAACTAATTTTTTGTACTTTCTCGGTAAAGCAGCAACACTGCTTTACTTCTTCTTTATTAAAGACGAAAGAATTTAGACAGATTTTCACTCTCAGTGATGCTGCAGTGTTCGTTTGACTTTTGGACCTGAAGTGGAGTTTAGTCCCGGATTACTCCGCGAAGCTCCTGACTACGGTGTCCGTAATGTTCAGACAATCCATCAAGCGGTGCGGCTTCATAGCTTACCAAAGTCGTACTACAACATTTTTTGACAGATTTTTGAGCGCTGTGTACCACATAAAATTGGTTCACGGTCAGTAAGCACAACCAGAATTCATACATAAAGCGCACCAGATTATTAAGCGCACTGTTGATTTTTGAGAAAATTAAAGGATTTTAAGTGCGCCTTACAGCCTGAAAAATATGGTAAGTGTTTCTTTTTATTGTCTCCTCTTTTGGTTTCTGTTTTTCAGATGCAGCACTCTATGTAGTTTACACTGTACCTCCTGTCCTGCTACTCATGTGTCTCCTAGTTACGGTTTATAAGAACAGATGCTCAAGAGTTAATGGTATCTTTTACAGTCATGTACACATGGACATGCTTACACTCAAATATAGATGCAAATATAGATGCAAAAGAAGTACAACCACTATGTATACTATGTATTTTCAGAAGCTGATGACACCATGAGCAGAAATACACCCAAGGAAAAAAACATAGAGGAAGTGATGGGGGCTGCAGAAAGTGGAGTAAGAAAACTAAAGTGTAAAGCATTAACAGAGTTGTATGCATAAAATATAAAAATATAAAAGAATTTGGCACAATTGGAATTTGTAATTATGTGTACATTTCTATTTTTGATGCTGAGACAATGATAGCAATTTGATGTCGGAATGCAGATAAAGGCCCTGCTACAGCTATGAACAGCCTCACACAGGCTGTAGTGTGGCTACAGTGGTGGAATAACTCAAGGGCAGTGAGATGACTAA